ATGTGCATTTGTTATCAACTTGTAGTTTGGCTTTTGCAAGATTGATTGCTCAAATTATTAGACCACAGTTCCATGATATAAATTATGATAATTTATCTTGATAATACTGGTTTAAATCCAAGTTGGTTTAGAAGAAATTGTATGCCTCCAATTATATCTAAACCATTGGTTATGAGAACAAAATTGCCAAAATAAAATTTGGTATGTGATGTATTATTTAATATACAACAGCACTTGTACGCATCTAGCCAAGTTATGATAAGTTCTCCCTATCACAATCGGTTCAGGGTCAGGAACCAAATAATTTCCATCTAGAAGTATGAATGTGCTATATGATTTAATTATTCCACCACAATACACAAAGATGGATCCTCAAATAAGACTAGGGATATGCGTTGGTGATCCCAATAATAGGGGGAGAAAATTGGCAGCTGAAAAAGTAATGCATGTAATGAATTATTATGAGTACATCGAGATCCTCGTACGAGAAAATGTGAACTTGAAGTTCAAGTGATAATTCATTTGCAAAATATTGCCAGACGTATTTGCTGACCCAAAGCTAAATATCAAATTCAGTTGTTAATGCTCCAAATAAAATAAAGTTCATAATGAATAGAGTCCATGGCATGCATAAAGCATAATAGACTAATCAGTTCCAAAGATAAAACTCCTTGAAGAAGGAGAGGAGCAAATGTTCAATATGGTCATAATAAGGAGGCAAGTGCTCTAGAAGAGCACCACGACATAATACTTCATAAGACCTTATGGAAGAGGCTCAGGTACCTGAAAATCATAAGATAAAGAGATCTCAATAAGTTATGTATTTATTGAGTAATAGTAGAACCGATATAAAATGATCGTCGACGATATTGTTAATATAATGTAGCGCTTAATATTATTAATATTGACGAGGATCTTGAGCTCAAATCTGTCATAAAATTTGGACAGATAAATGATTGGCCAAATGAAAAATACGCAATGAAAATTGATTTCACATGAAAAATATGAAGTTGGACGGATAGTCCCAATACCTGAAAGTATAAAGCTTGTGGAGGTATAAATATGTTATTGTGCGAAAAAAAAAGGTCAAGTCGATAGACATAAAGACGACTTGTGTTACAAGAAGATTTATAAATATAGTGGCATTGATTATATAGAGACATGTTCTCCTGTGGTGGATGTCGCCATTTCAGATTTTAATCTAGCAATACAAGAAAAACATGATATGCGTATTAAGGTTTCCAAGAAATTTATTAAATAAAGCTTCAAAAATTCTTATACGGATTAAAACAATCAGGGCGCATGTGGTATAATCGCCTGAGTGAGTACCTGTTGAAAGAAGGGTACATGAATGATTCAATTTGTCCGTGTGTCTTTATAAAAAGATCTGGATCTAAATTTATTATAATCACCGTGTATGTTGATGATTTAAATATCATTGGAACTCCTAGGGAGCGTAAAGCTTCCTAAAGTAATAGACTATTTAAAGAAAGAATTTGAAATGAAAGATCTTGGAAAGACAACATTTTGTCTTGGTCTACAAATTGTGTATATGAAAGATGAAATTTTTGTCCATCAATCAGCATACACTAAAATAATTTTAAAGCGATTTTATATGGATAAAGCACATCCATTCCGACCTCATGAAAATAATGAAGAGCTTCTTGATCCCGACGTACCATATCTTAGTGCAATTAGTGCACTAATGTATCTTTCTAACATTACAAGGTCTGACATAACTTTTTCAGTTAATGTCTTAACAAGATATAGCTCTGCTCCTACAAGGAGACATTGGAATGGAATCAAACACATATTGCGGTATCTAAAAGGGACTACCGATATGGGATTATTTTATGGCAATAATTGCAGTCCTGATCTTGTTGGTTATGCCGATGCTGAGTATTTATATGACCCACAAAAGGTTCGATCTCAAACATGCTATGTGTTTACATATGGAGGCATTGCCATATCTTGGCGATCGACTAAGCAACCAATCGTGGCTACTTCATCAAATCATACTGAGATAATTGCTATTCATGAAGCAAGTCGAGAATGTGTATGGTTGAGGTCTATAATACACCTTATTCGAGACAAATGTGGTTTGAAGTGTGACAAACTACCCATAATTTTGTATGAAGACAATGCAGCATGCATAGCCCAGTTGAAGGGAGGATTCATAAAAGGGGATAGGACAAAGCACATTTCACCAAAGTTATTTTTCACACATGATCTTCAAAAGAATGGTGATATCAATGTGCAATAGATCTGTTCAAGTGATGATATGGCTGATTTGTTCACCAAATCTCTACCGTCGTTAACCTTCAAGAAACTAGTGTACAAGATTGGGATGTGAAGGCTCAAGGATGTGAATTGATGCTCTCATCAGGGGGAATTAATACGCGTTGTACTCTTTTTCCCTTACAAGGTTTTGTCCCATTGGGTTTTCCTTGCAAGGTTTTTAACGAGGCAACCAAAAGGCGTATTTCTAAACATGTGTACTCTTTTTCCTTTACTAGAATTTTTTTTCCCATAGGGTTTTTTTTCCTAATAAGGTTTTAACGAGGCACATTATCTATGGACATCCAAGGGGGAGTGTTATAAGAAAAATCAAATTATGGTGGATGTCTACTCTTCCTCCATGATTTTCTCAAATGCTTAATGACATATTTTTATGCTTAATGACATATTCAATGACATATTTTTCTTCACTTTTCATGCATATAAAGGCCTTGTAATAGATAGAAAAATACACACAATTGAAGAAGAAAATCTCTTTCTTCTCTCTATCTCCATTTCTTGTTCATGTTTTACGAAGTTCCTTTTATTTTATAACAAGGATAATTTTATGAGAAATATGAGAAAAATAGGTTCTTTTAGCTTTCTTTATTTGCATCATCATTGATCATCCCCATCCGAAAGAACTTTGAAAGGATTTTGTGAAATAAGGAAAATAAGAATTCATAACTTTCTTTTCTTGCCTCGCCTATTCACTTAGCAACCCACCCCACTCTCCCAAAAAAAAACAAAAACAGATGGATATTTTTATTTGAGAAGTTTGAATTCTTATGGATATTTTTATTCGAGAAATTTGAATTCTTGGCCCGTTATTCCAAAAAATAACCGGTGTTGCGGATTTCTTCTTTTTTACGAAAAAATGTCAATCCTAACGTCAAAAGCATTGCTCAAACACCATCATACACGCTAGAAGAATATACACAGTATAATTAATAATTTTCGGCATCAAGGTAACTTTTTTATTGTTTTTATTAATATAACTATCTTTTTCATCAGTTTCTCCATCTATTTTTCCTCATCAGATTTGGCTATGGCGATTAATGCATTCTCGTACTCCACTGGCTGCATTCTTTACAATCTAATTTGACGAATTAAGCATTAGTCCCACGAAGGAAAAAGAAAGACACTATGTAGAAAACTTGCAATGATCTTCTATTAACACTTGCCAAAATTCTACATCAAGGAGAGAAATCTCATAGAAATCAAAACATTATTCTCAAAAGTGTTGTCCACGTAGGAAGGTGCAAGAAAATGGTGATTCAGTAGCAATCAGCCAGCCAAGTCCAGAAAGTTAATGAAGAAACTCTGCTAGAACATCCTCCTTTATAAACCCCTGCAGGCAGAGCAGTCATGGCTGTCAATTTACAAATGAAAGCAGTTTAGAATGGTCATATATAGGAAACTGGCAATGTAAGAAAAGTGTTTTACTTTAATCAGAAGGACCGCTGGCTAAAAAAATTGAAAATACAAAGAACCATGCAAAGCTATAGTAGCTGAGAGTCGAGAACAAAAAATGCTTCAAAACCCACGAAATGTGAACAGAAAACAAATGCATATCTTATTTTTCCCTTTTCCCTCTGGGAGAAGAATTTCGAGTCATAAAATGACTTTTGGCTCAAAATATAATTTTACAATTAAATGTGAGTAGATTTCATCTGCAAATGGCAAACATCTCAAGTGCAGTTTGCTTAGGCAACTGTGGATGGAGTTGGCAACAGACATGAAGCTCCATACATGGCACACATCACAAAACTTGAAAGAACAAGGGAAAGAGCAATGCCAAAAGGATGGCAACAGATGCAAGATCCTATCTTCAAGTTTGAGATTAGCAATACCTACGCTTTTTTCCCCTTTTACACTCTTCTTATAAATGGGGAGTCAAAGCTTCACGCATTAAAAGCTTCACAATATTCCCTCTAAATCCATGTGCATATGCTATAAAATGTTGTTTATATTAGAAAGGTTAAGTAGAAACCTTTCTACAGACTGAATGTATCACTTTCATTTGCTCTAAAATTTTCTACAAGGACTTAATTTCCAATATTTTCATGCTCTACTATTAAGCTTGTGCCCAATTAGAGTGAGACGAAAAGAATTACATCGGTCAGCTAAAGAAAACAGCTGAGTGCACAGATCTTTCCCAATATATCCCTTTTCTTTTGCTCAGTGGTGTGGATAACAATTAGATGCCATTTTTGCAGAAATTCTTCACCCGGTGTCTAGTTTTGTCCTTGGACACCATGCTTTCTGTTGCCTCTAATATTTTAGAGTACAACGATGAATAAGATAATCCTTTCTTAGTCTTATTCCAACAACATGAGTAACTCATGATCTTCAGTAAGAAAAACTAGGAAAAGTTACACTTCCTTCCAAGAACAAAAAGCTCCTAGCCTCCTTTTTTTTAGCTTGCTAGATACCCATGACCTCGTACTCACCCTACCTTTCAGCTTCATATCCTTTCGGACCCTATAGTTCTCCACTCTCCATGCACCACTCCCTTCAGTTGGAGGGGTGAGTCCAGAACAAGAGCACCGACGACAGACTAGTATGTCTAATATCCCGTACATCCAATGAGCAGTGACCGAGGACGAGAAATGGCTAATGTTCAACAGAAAAATTTTAGTCATTTTGTGAACGAATGCTAGTTCTAAGACAGAAAGATTGAACAAATAGACTACATAGTGCTTGCATTTCTCCATATGCCCCAATCCCTTCATTTAAGTGAAATGCCCGCGAGATCCTAAACTCTGAAGCTAGCATATTCAAATTTGGAATAATGACACGACAAAGATAAGAGAATCTAAACACTTGCATACATTGTATCTCAACTTAAGGAACTTATCTAAATTCAGCACTTATAGATGAATTCCACATATCGTTAGAAAATGTGGTTACTTCTGATGTTTACACCTGAGCTCTTCTCTTTTGTAAATAGCGTAAAGTGCAACTGAAATCAACTTCTTAAATCATTGTCTTATAAACCAAACGAAAGAAACAGTTAATTCCAAATCAGATAAAATTGCCCTTCAGTCATCACTATATAAAATACACCCAATGACAAGGCACTAGAGTAGTTCAGTGATTAAACAACCTGCAAACATTGCACACATTTAGATCTTATCTGCATTACGATTTTAGTATTTGACTCCTTTTACCCCCACCTTTTGTTAAATTAGATATGCACATGCATATTTAAACGGGGACAACCCTTTGGCAAGCTTATTTGAGTCAAGATAACCTTGGCAAAAGAGGCATTCAACTGTGCAATAGGTGTTACATGTGCCAGTAGAAAGCAGAGAATGTCTTCCATCTTTTTCTCCATTATAAAGTAGAAGAGATATTTGGAGCATGTTCTGGTGTATTTTTGGGGTATGCTGGATAATGGTTCGCATTTTTTTGGTGTACCTAGAAAGAGAGAAACCGTAGATATGGAATATCAACTTCCATTCACTCCTTAAAAGTTAGGTGTCTTTTAAAGCTTTTTTTTGTTGGAACAACTTATACAATGTGAATAGTATCGAACAGATCATAGATTTTGTTAGCTCCCTAAGCTTTACCTAGTGTCATCCTACTGGACCTAATTTCCTTTTGTAACTATTTGCATCTTCTGGATGTTTATTGTTGAAGTGTGTGACCATCTTATCTAAAAGCATAAGCTGTAACAGAGAACACACTTTCTATTTACTTAATTTTGTCTTCAACACGTCCCCTCACGTGCAGGCTTGATTCCTTTAGATGAGCCAAGTACATGAAAATTCTTTTAATATTGGTGGCAATGAGACTCGAACCCAGGACCTCTGGCTACTATGATATCATGTTGAAGTGTGTGACCATCTTATCTAAAAGCTTAATTTCACCACAAGAAATTTGACTTTTAACGACCATTTCTTAATGAAGGGATGTGAATCTGGTCGTTATAAATATATTTATAGCGACCAAATTATTTTCCGGTCAGTAAAATCAATTTCTGCTCATCAATAGCCAGGGGATAATACCCGGTCTTAAGCAAGTAATGATTTCCCGTCGCAAAAACTAGAATAGGAAAAAATAAAAAAAATAAAAAGAAGCGCCAATTCTTTCCCTCAAATTTTCCCAGCCCATCCCTCTAAATAAAAGATAAAAGAAGCCCTAGAACAAGCAAAACTGACTTAGGAACACAAATCTCCCTCTGCCTACTCAGTACTATCTCATCGTTATCTAATGATGCTCTAAGGAGAGTGTGAAATTCTTTTTTGAAAAAGTAACTATATATTGAATATGCTAAAGTAGAGGAGGGCAAGAAAACAAAATCAGTGTATCACTGTGTGAATCTCCACTTTTCATGCGCAGAGAAAAATGAGATGAAATATACGAAAGTACAAAAAACTAGTGTGCCACTGGAGGGGGAGAAAGACAGGGAAGGAGGAATGTGTTTTCTTATAGAGTGAAGAGAAGAGATAGATTTCATCTTTCTTCATAAATTCTAGCAAGCTTAATTTTTTAATGACATGTATACAGAATTTTCAGTAGTCAATTGCATGTACATAATCACTTTATGGGTAAGCTGTTAATTTCAGAAAAGAAAAAAAAATCAGTCTCACTTAAGTCAACAGAGCTTGCGCAACAACCAAATATTGAGCTAAGTGTAAAAATCTATTATATAAATCATAGTGTATATATTTCGTATTAACTAGTGACTGAGCTATACAGAGTGACTAATTAATTACATGTTACTGTAGTGACTTCATCACGAGTTTAGTTTTGATAGTCATGTCACTGGTTTCTTTTTCTGTTCAGTAGTTGGTATTTTCTCCATTAGTTTAGATTCATAACTTCTCTACATTATATTGGAGTTGTCATAGTCTAAACCCTTGATAAGTCATTTCAGGCTTCGGAGCGTGGATGTTTGACAATAATCCTCAAAATTAATTTTTAATCGATTTATAATCAAGGTGTTCAACAGTGATAATTCTCCAAGTATTTGTAATCAGGGTGCCAATTAGAAGCATGTTAATATCATTTGCAATTAAAAACTGTCTGAGAACGGCTTTACATGTAATTAAATGTGCTTATAGTTTGTATTAACTAGTGAACTTTGATCTAGATCAATGTGTTCTGAATACTTTCTTGGTAATTGCAGGGTTTGAGTAACTTAAGTTGGATATGAGTATTTCATATATTTGCTACTTGTATTTCGATATTAGAAGTCTTACTATGGAACTCCATCTCCAAAGAATTTCCTGCTTTGCCGGTAATGTCTCTTTGTTGTTAATCTTTTAGAACACGTGCACATTTGATACACATGCTGGTTAATACTTTTCTTTTTAAAATGTATTATATTTTGAGAAAAAACATCTTAGGAATGAGAGGTGTAGTTTACAAAACTAAAATGGACATTTAAAGATACTTTAATTTTTACCAGGAGACAGACTTGTATATATCAATATATTCTAGGAAACTATAGGGTGACAGGCCGGAATCACTTATGAGGCCTTAACTTTAGATTGTAGTTTTAGAACCTTTACTAACTTTGTAGCTACTTGCAAAATCAAAAAAAAAAAAGAATTTCAGAATTGTGTTGTGATAATTTGAGTTTCTTCTCAAATAACTCAAAAACTTATAGCATATGCTTTTAGCTTTCAAAAACTGATAAGTCTTCCAAATCTTTCACTACCCTATATCCTGTAAACTTGTAATCTCTTTCTTTATTTTCTCTATCTCCAACAAGATGTTTTATGGCGTATGCAAATTTCATGTTCTAAGTGAATATACTGGTTGTGAACCTGCAAGGTTGTTTGCTATGACTTAAACTCAATGAATATTTAATATGTACACCTTTACAATTATTGAAAATTAGTTTGTGATGAAGGTTGAATTGAGTATAAAATAAGAAAAGCATTAGTGGAGTTTGTATCCGTGACTTTTCAAATACGCATGGTGCACTTTAAGTCTTCAACTGGTACATTTTGGGCTCCTACAGGATGGTATATTTTAGAGTTCAAACTATTGTAAGGATGGTCCTCATTTTATACCAGATGTAGGTAGATTGATGCCTCTGGCAAGCTCGGATGGATTTTTTTTTTGTTGCAGGGACAGATTGCAAGAGAAGCTGGTTCCTGTATAGTAGGAGCTAAATTTAAACCCCAGCCTCCTCCTTATCCAACGGTAATTTTTTGAATTTTCAAAAGCATCCTCCTTCAGCCAGCTTTTCTTCTTTTTGGGAAGATCATATATTCTCGATTGTTTGAGTATAAGAAAGAAAAGGGTGAAAATGGAATGGAGTGAATATAGAAGACTCATATAATTGACCCTAACTAGTTCGGGATTGAAGCTCAGTTGATGTCGCAATATATGTTCACAGTTGCAAACTGATATCACGATAAGAATTTTTATTAGAACTATATAGTGACTATTGGATTTTGTAGAATATTCATCTCTAGAAAATGTAATTCTTCTTGGTATATTATTTCACCATTGTTCTTTTGACCGATCAAGATTTTGAAGTTTGAAGAATCTGCCTAGGAAGAAAGTGCAGAGCAAGTATAAGCAACAACCGAAAATGTTAAAGATCAAGTTGAAGCACAAAAGGGACATGTTTTTGGTTTTCTTAGGCATTATTTAAAGATATTTTAATTTGTAATGCTACAATGTCGTACAATTTAGGTTGGTACATTTTTGGTAATGTGAGGTTTTATCTCTTGTAATTAATTATCTATGAAATTTTATATGAATATTGATAATTTTGTATTTTTCCATATTTGCTCAAGTGTAATGTATATGAAAGAAGAATTACTATTTAGTTTTTATGTATCTTTACAGTAATTACCATATAATGATCGGATGCACTTTTAACGACTGGATTAGTTGTCGTAATTAATGGATTTTCATGACCGGAATAATAATTAGCGAAGGAAAAATTTGGTCGCTAGAAGTAGGTAGAATGACCGGATTTCTTGTTGTCGCCAAATATTTTTTAACGACCGGATCGAAATCCGGTTGTAAACTTTTAACGTCGAAGCTTTTAACGACCGATGACGACCAAATATTTTTCGGCCGTTAATGACTAATCGCGACAGGATCAGGACTTTCAACAACCGAATTTTCCCTCGCTAAAAGCCTTTTTTCCTATAGTGATATAAGTTGTTAGAGAGAACACACTTTTTATTTACTTAATTATGTCTAACACTTATCAATGAAATTTCTAACTTCATAAAAAAAAAACATGATAACTTCATTCACGTACAGAAAATTGGTGATTGTTCACTAATGAGTAATATGAGCCATCAACTTCCTTGGCAACTAAACATCAGTTACAGTTTTCACCCATCTCAATGCCGTGAAGAATTCTTGATGTTCTAGCTTGCTGGAATAAAGAGGGCTACCTTTCTAGTTATAAAGAGAGATGGAGAATTGTCCCAGCATGCATATGGTGGACAATTTGGGAAGAGAGAAATCCAAGATATTTTGAAGACAAATCCAGTAACATCCAGAAGACGAAGATGAAATGTCTAGCTCTTTTCTATTTTTAGTGTAAAGGAAAGTTTTTGGAGGATCATGAATCCATTTTTGATGTACTAGATTCCTTGTGAGAAGACCAAGGATTATAAGTATTTTAATTTTCCTTTTGGGCACTCATTCTGTAATTATGGGTCACTTCACAAATTTAGTGAAATCTATATATTAATATACAAATATTTTACCTTCTCAAAAAAAACAATTTCACCCATCTCAAATAAGCAAAAATAAACCTTGTGTGCGGAAGGTAGGGCAAACTGGAACTCCTCACAGTAAGCCACTCATATGCAACAATGCGCTCTAAGCAGTTGAAGCTTACTAAGAAGCCAACTCTTTCGCACTGAGATAAATGTAATCTTTTCTACACATCATAGCAAAAATTAGTCAACTTCTTTCTCTTTCTCTTTTGCCTTCATTGAGGGAAATAACTATCTCCGCAAATTTTAGTCATCATCAGCAATCAATTCATTGGCAATTAGCATGTGATTAACATAAAAGCAGCTTGCTCCATTCCCAACATGATCCATTTAGAGCATTGCAATCTTTCCTACACTATCATAGCACAACTTAGTCAGCTACAAGTTCTCAAGTTGCTATTTTCTACTTTTTCCAATGCCCTCCTTCAGGAATAGAACTATCTCTGTGAATTCTAGTCAATAGCAGCAATCAATTCATGTCATCTAGCTTGTGCTTATCATAACACCAGCTTGCTATCTCCCCAACACGGTCCATCATTGGCACTAATAAAGTCCACAACACTCTTAGTCTTCCCAGTAACGTTTCCTTACTTTAGCAACATCATAAACAACACCTACACCCTCAATCCCAAACTAGTGGGTTCAGCTATATCAAAGGAGGATCTAGGATTTAAACTTGATGGATTTGACTTTTAAATTTTTTAGCATTGAACTCATTGCACTTCTAAAATTATGGATTCAGATATTATATTTATTGAAACTTTAGTAGGTATGCACATACATATTTATATTCCAAGTCGAAAATACTAGGTTTGGATGAACCCATAACCAAAGGGCTACATCCACCACGAGCCAATATGAAACCTCTATATCTATTTCGCTCCAAGTCGAAAATCATTCGTTTTTTGTTTTTCATACCTGACTTTCTTGATGAGGATGGATTTGAGCTTACGAGCGAGGTCTTGAGAACGGAGTTTACGTTCAAGGAGCTTACGAGCCAAGATGCGCTTCTCCGAGTTCTTGATGTGGTGAAGCTGTTCACGCTTTATGAGGCGTTCCATTCCGCTGGACTGCATTTTCCTCTGCATCAAGAACAGTGCTTGGTCTAGGTTGTTGTTCTGCACCTTCACCCGTATGCCCCGCCATTGTTGTAGTTGTTGCTCCCAACTTAGTGGATTCAATAAGGCTACGTTCGGTCGATTGAAGATGGTGGATACATGCTTCGCTACTGAGCTCATCATTTCTTAGGGTTTCTCGATTTGTTTGGTCCTGAAATGCAATTGGGGCTTGAAATCAGTTTTAGAAATACCAAGTCTAATCAAGATTCTAACATACTTATCATGTATCAATATCATGGCTCTTAAAAAAAATATAAGTCTTGTAATCAAAGGAATTGGTAAAGATGTAATTCTCACTCTACAAAATTCTAACAGATTGCAATGTCTCTCAATAAATTAACACAACATGCAAATGGACTAGAATATAATATCAGATAGAGAACTTACTTCAGTTTCTTAATGGTCAAAGTATATTGGGTGTAAGCTTAACTGCCTCCTATATCAATATCTCCTTATAGCAAAGAAATGATAACCTAGCAAGACAAGTTTTACAAGGACTCAAGGAGTATTAAATTCAAAATATCAATTGCTGATTACGGTTGAACTATCATAAATTCTGCCACATAGTACTTCGAACTAGAGAAATATCTTTTGATAATAGGAGAAGTGAACATGAGTATTATGGTTGCAACATTCAATGCGAACACAAGTATTATAGTTGCAACAGCTTGATTCAGTCCAAAGAAACATTAAAAAAGATCATTCAATTGTAACTTGTACAAATCTGACCTTAAGATCCAATTTAATATCTTACTAGTGTTAGAACCCGCACGATGCTCGGATAATTTGACAGAATATTAATCTTATAAAATTATATAATCTAATATATCATATTATTTTAATAAATATTGTTTATTACTTTATGTAGTTTACAAAAATATAACAAAATCTATACAAAATCAAAGGATACACATCATACAGTAATCAAATAAATTGTTTATTCTTTGTTTAATCTTTATTAAATTAGCAAGTACTTGGTACGATACATTTACTAATGTTTCTTTTTATTAACTTGTCAATTGGCTTAATATTTTGATACTACTTCTCTTTTAATATAACATAAGTATATATTTTCTTATTCCGGAAATATTTTTTTAATACTTATATTATATTGTTCAAAATTCTTCAATTGTCTAAATTTATCAATAATTTTCTTGAATGTTTGTACGATAATATTTGATTAGATTTCTCATTTTGTATTCCACTGAAAATTTAAATAATGTAATTTATTTTACAAATTATAATTTTGAATTCATAAAAAAGTATAAAGAGATAAACCTTTTATTATGTTTATAAAAAATATACTAATATTTTTAATAATTAATAATTTGTGTTTTATATATAATATATTATCTTATGTATAATATCCTAATAGTTTCTTTATATTTTTGTATTTTTCATTATGGAATTATGAGTTCTATTTATTAGCTAAAATTTCCTACATGAGAAATTTAATTAGTATATAAATTTTTACGCTATCGCGTTTTTTTTTTAGTATTCTTCCTTTATGACTGTTTGGTTATTATGATTTTAGTTATGTGTATATGTACGATTTTTCTCATAATAATTCTAATTATAAGTCTTATATTTATTTCTTTTGCTTATCAAATTGTATTATCCATTACTTCATATTACTAAATTGACATGAATTCCTAATAAATTACCAGTTTAGTATAATAACTACTCCTAAATTTGAATTGAAAGTTTTTGACTTCTTTATTTTATTTTTTTAAAATAATTTAAAAACTCCAACTTGAAACTACTTCCAATTTGAATTGGCAACTTTTTATTTTTTTTAATTTCATTTTTTATTTTAAAATAATTTAAAACTCCAACTTTGTTGGAGCTTTTTCCTAAAAATCTACACTTGTCGTCTTATGGTGCCACTTGGCATCATATAATTATCTACTTTTCTTTATATATATATATTAGGAAGAAATTACTCCCCAATTTGAATTGGTAATATTTTTTTTATTTTTTTTTTTTATTTTAAAATAATTTTAATACTCCAATTTGAATTGGCAACTTTTTTTTTTTTTAATTTCGATTTTAATTTAGAATAGTTTTAAAACTCCAACTTTGTTGGAGCTTTGTCCTAAAAATCTACACTCGTCGTCTTATGGTTATGCCACTTGGCATCATATAATTATTTACTTCTCTTTATATATCTAAATTATTATAAAAGCATGAATACAATGTCGGTTTACAAAAATGACCTTATAATATTAAGTATAATAACTCATAATAAAAGAACATAACCGGAATTCTAGATATTAGCCTTATAATCCTATTAGTTTTAGGATATAATACTACACGTTAATATTTAGGACTTTAAAATTAACTAAATTTTGGTTATTAAATCTTCCCTTATTGAACTAGGTAAGAATTCTTAAATAAAACATTAAATTTAACCTTGTATTGGAAGAACTTAAAGAGAGAATGGTCTAAATACGTATGGAAAGGCTTTGAAAAAATTTGAAGTTAAAAAAATCGAAAGATTATAAACTCAAGAGTCCACTTTGACTCAACGTTTTAAAAACTAATAATAGTATATATATTTTACCTTCTTTATTTATATTAGAAATTGAAGGAATGTTTTTTTTTATTTTGAACAAAATACAGTTCCTTCATAAAAGTTGTTTTTATGTCGATTATAATTAAAATTAGTTTTAAAAATAATTTATTTTATTTTGTTGTTTGATCTTCATGATTTTTTCTATCTTTAATTATTTAAATAGAATCAGCATTTAACATTTACAGAAAATTTTATTTACTTTTCATCTCATAAATCAAACATATTTAATGTAAAATTTACGTGAGTTTTCAACATTGAATAGTTATTGATGGGGTACATACACAATGCACATACCGAGATTAATCTATCCTTCCTTATTCTATTTTCATGTATTTTGAAATATAGTATGTAAATAAAAAATTCTTAAAAATTACATCGTGACTCAAAGCTAATGTCATGTCCTAATGATAAGTAACCTAACTTGTCGATTTATAAAAATAACCTTATAATATTAAATATAATAACTCATAATAAAAGGTCATAATCGTAGATATTAGCCTTATACTCCTATTAGCCGAGGGTCTATTGGAAACATCTTCTCTATCCTCACAAGGTAGGGGTAAGGTCTGCGTACACACTACCCTCCCCAGACCCCACAGTGTGGATGGAATATTACTGGGTATGTTGTTGTTGTTGTAGCCTTATAATCCAATTAGTTTTAGGACATAATACTAGACGTTAGGAATCCTATTAGTATAATTACTTTCGGGGTGTCTAATTCATATAAAATTGAACAAGTAAATATCTTTAGTCATGTAATCCTATTACTTTTAGGATATGCTTCTTAAAAATTTCTATTACTAATTTAATTTGAAAACGTATTATAATGTCCTATTACTAATTTAATTTGAGAATGTATTATATTGTCCAAATCCATTTAGAAAAAAGAGAGCCTATATTATTATAAAAACATAAATACAATATTAATATACCAAAGTAGCCCTAAAATATTAAACGGAAGAACTCATAAGGAAAGGACATAACTGCAATAACTGACTACAATACCTTCTATACTAATTTTTAATATTTAAGATTTTAAAATTAATAAAATTTGGTCTATTGAATACTTACTAAAAAAAATATGTAGGAAGGTTTAATAAAATCAATTTCATAATAATCCTCTGTATTGGCAATACATTATTACTCCATAATATCCAATACCAAAAAAAAAATTAATATTAAATGGACCGCATAAAGAGTTGAAATTGAGATAAAAAAAATACCCCCACGATAATATATTTTTATATTATATTTGAACTATTTTTCTACTCAAATAATATATTTTTTATCATTTTTCGTGTAATATTAAAAAATACCCAATTATTAAACAACAACTAAGGAAATATTTAAGAATATAAATGTGTGAGAAAGAGAAAAAAAAATGGTTGGTAAGAGTCAATACCACTAATGATTCTACAGACATAAAGATCTAAAAGTGAAATGTCATATTAATATTTTACTCTTTGAAAATAAAATTTATGGTGGATAAAATTATAATTAAGATTAAATATTCAAAACAAGAGATGAACTAATATTAAGATCTGAGTCAACATAGAATAAATTATTTTTTATGCTAAAACTAATAATTAAATCTTTTAATTAATTATTTAGCAAGAGAATCCAATTCAATTATTTTTTAAATTCATCATATGAGTAAAATTCTTATTCAAGTTAAAAAAATCTTAGGGTACATAAATTTATTCAATAAAAAGAGCGTTAGAACACAAAGTAAAAATGTTAGTATGTTATTAAGAATCAAAATGCTATACAAGTGTCTAAAGAAGCACAATCAAAACTAAATCCTAAAAAAGAACATTTGTGTAAGTTATGATGATGTCCTTTTATTGTAAATTCATGTATTATGCCAATGTAATAATATTTTTCGGCATTTAGATGATTGTTGTATTATTATACATAAAATTTCTCTAAATAATTAAATTTTATTGTTCCTTCATATAAATAAATGTTTAAATCATCACGTGTCATTATTAACGTGCAACGCACGTTGATAGATACTAGTGTGTGTGTATATATATATATATATATATATATATATATATATATATATACCCACATTTGAATTGGTAGTTTTTATTTTTTGCTTTTTATTTTAAAATAATTTTAAAACTCCAACTTGAAACTACTCCCCAATTTGAATGAGTAGTTTATTTTTTATATTTTCGTTTTTTTTATAGACAATTAAGATAATCTACATTTGTTAATTCAAGTAGAGTAACCAATTAATTCAAAATTTAAAATTCAAAAAAAATAATAGTTAGAAAGGTAGTTTATTTTGTCTTAACAATGCCACTTGGCTTTTTATGGTTATGGCATAAACATAACCATAAACATAAACATAAGGTAATTTTGCTTCTCCTATTCTATATAGGATATAGATATCCTATTCTATATAGATAGATTATGACACTTATCTTAATATAATGCTTTTGCTTCTCCTATTCTATATAGGTAGATAGATTTGAATTGGCAATTTTTTATTTTTTTTAATTTCGATTTTAATTTAAAATAGTTTTCAAACTCCAACTTTGTTGGAGCTTTGTCTTAAAAATCTACACTTGTCGTTTTATGGTTATGCCACTTGGCATCATATAATTATTTACTTCTCTTTATATATATACTAGTGGAGGCGTAGCCCGGGTTTTGCCCGGGCCCAACATCAACAAAGCTATACTGTTATCAGCAAGGAATAAGTTTTGTGTCTAGAAGAGAAATAGAAGATACAGATTTGCTACAAAGATGTTACTTAACAGTGAAATAAAAGACTACAGAGCTATTAAAAAAATGCTACTCTTTCTAATCCTTTTATTTCTAATTCATATGTTATCCAAAAACGTCTAGCTTTCCTGTGGCATCCGCTGATACATAGTTGTAAATAATTAAGAGAAGTCTTCATTTTCAAATGTTTCAAATTTGTCAAAGCGCAATAAGACATCCAGTAGAAACTACAACTGTCTGTGGGCTCTAGGGACATCTTAAACCAGTTAACTTTGGCTAACAAAATAATACCCTTTGAATATATTGGTCAGTGTGTTTGTGTAGAAGGTATTTGCAGAAAACAATTTTAGTATCAATGATATAGATACCTGATATTGTACAAATGATTCAACTATTAAACACTTTAAAACAACAGTACCTAAGTAAAAAGAAGTGACATCTGCTTTTGAGTTTTATCAATGTTTAGATTAGAATTACAAAATAAACTAAAGCTTTCATCTAAACATTCAGATTGGTAGGAGTATTCAGAAAGCTTGTAAACTGTAATGTGTACTTTTTCTTTCTTTGAAGTTGCTTGAACAGCTAGTAGTCGATCAAGTGATAATCAAAAGCCAGTTGGTGATTTAGCACTTTTTGGTTTCGTAGTCGCTTTGGAAAAAGGAATATACAAGGAGTCAGCTAATAAGGCAGTAATATTAATCGAAAGCTGAAATAACCAAATTATCCAGTAAATCCTAGGCAGACATGCTGAAAATATTAAACTACTATCTGCTTTAACTAACATATCGACTTCAAAAAGAAGAATCAGATTTTTGTTTCATACTCAATAGGCAGAAAAGATTATATGTCCCAATATATCTAATATGTTTGTCATTGCATGTGGTGATTTCCTATGGTAGTCAAAAAGTCTTTATGTATAGTCTGTGGCTTAGCACAGAGGAGAGTAAAACCATAAATTAGGATCTACTTAAATTCTATTGGTTTCCATTCGTGTTTTCCTAACAAATCTCATAACCATCAGTTGTATAGTCAAATAAAACAATCAAATTATCAGCAATACAAATAATAGTCAAGCACATGAATTAGATGGACTATAAGGCAACATCTGATAGAATCACAAACGTACTTGGATTTAAGCTCAGCAACTTCAATCTTTAAACCATTATTGTTGCGAACTGCCTTTGCATCAGCATCTACATAAGGAGATGTGCAGTGATTATATTGTGACATTTTGTAGGGATCCGAGAAGACAACCTGCTCAATGAGCTTAACTTGATGTTTCTACAAAATCCAGCAACACCCACAAAGACCAAGTGGCGAAAACAGGCAATTAAAGAGCTTATCGCAAACTTAATATTGAAATTTCTCTTCTTTTTGAGAAAAAGACGCAAGGCATGGATAGCTTAGTTCAATTCGTACACTTTTGAGAGCCCTTTAGTTAAACCAGCTATAACCCCAAAAATAGTAGAAATAAAAAAAAAGCCTAATTCATTCAAGAATTGCCTTGAACACCTAAAGAACAAAGGCGATGGACACATATTGAACCTATCATAATCTTCCTTCGATCCATTCGACGAAATAGAAGTTTCAATTTGGGGAATTGATTTGCTTTTGAACTGCCCCAAATGCCGTAGGAGCTCCGCTTTTCTTTTATTAAGACCAAAAAATCATTCACTTCTAACCACGTGATTCAAATGTAAGGTAGAATTTTGTCTTCTTCCATTTAGCACACCTACCGTCAGAAATTGTTCACAATTTATTCTTTTCTTTCTTTCTTCTTCTTTAACACATCAACGTTCAT